GCTGAACCAGCGCGCCCCTCGCCGCAGTATAACCCGTCCCTCGGTCCCGGCTTGCCCCTTCCCCTGGCCTCCCCAGCGGGGACGCTCATTCGGGGATGTAGTCCCTGAAGGAGTTAAAGCTGAGGCTCCGGCCAGCTGAGTTCAAGGTGGAGCTGGCTTGCATCTTGGGGATCTTCTCCATCAGCTTCGACACTGTCCTCCTCTTGAAGGAGCCCGGGGAGAAATGCCCCTGCCTCATGAGCTCCTGGTAGAGAGCGTTGAACACCGCCACCGTCTCTTCGTAGCTGTCCCGGGTGGAGATCTCGTAGAAAGGAAGCTTCAAGGCTTTGGAGAGGTTTTCGCCGTCCTCTGTGGATACCATCCTGTCGAACTGCAAGTCCTTCTTGTTGCCCACGATGACCACGGGGGGCTGCTCGCTCCCACTGCTCCGCTTGGGGCTGGAGTGGATGTGGTTGATGAGGAAACACAGCCGCATGACTTCGTCAAAGCTGCATCTGTCCGTCACCGAGTAGACCACGGCGAAGCCATCGCCCCATTTGATCTTCTCCTCTATCTGCAGGGAATCCTCCTCCTGCCAGGGCAGACAAGCTCGTATTAGCACCAGAAGCCCCAGCATCTACACGGGTAGCCCAGGGCAGGGATTGAGCAAAATGAGGGATGGAGAGAGCGACGGATGGATGGATGGATGGATGGAGACCATCCTGATGTGGACAAGGGAGCGTCAGTGCCACTATAGTGGGCGCGCAGAGGTTAGGGCTGTTGCTAGGTGGGAAGCCAGCCCAGGGCTCTCATCGCCCGCAATGCCCGTGCTCGGTGGGTCCTTTGAGCCAGCACCCCCCGGCTCCCTTGACTCCCTCCCTGCCGTCAGGATGCTCCACCGGTGCAGGGAGCAGAGCTGAGCTGCACACCGGTAAGGGGAACGGGGAAATATTTGGCTGAAGCCACGCCGTAACTGACGTTCGAGAGACACAAATTATCAAAAACGCCCTTTTTGGGAGACAAACACATCTTGATCGCTATTTTGGAGACAGCAGATGAAGGCTGGTGGAAGAGCAGGGATCGCCTTCAAGTCGTGCCTTCCTGAAGGTGCTTCCTGGGGTCGGTCTAAGTTGGAAAAGACTTTTAAGATCATCAAGTCCAACCAGGAGGCGGCGCGAGCTCACCTGCCCTGCCGTGTCGAGGATCTCGAAGTGCACCACCTCCCCGTCGATGACGGCCATGTGTCTGTAAATCATCTCTGGAGGAGGACAGACAGAAAAGCATGTGTGAGAGAGGCCCCCAGGCAGCAGATGCCAACCCCGGGGGCCTGGGGGCAGGCTGGGCTGGAGAAGTCAATTTTCACCTGCTGCGACCTCCAGCCCATGTTTTGAGTCCACATCTTGAGCCGACCCTCGGGCTGCCCCCCCTGTGCCCACGGCATCGAGCCCAGCGTCCCCCAGGGGCAGCGGGGACCCCCAGCCGGCGCCCGGCCGGTTTTCACCTTGCTGGCACCAAAAGGGCAACAGCCACCCAAGTGTTGGAGCAAAGAGGGGCACGGAGCGATGCTTCTGTGAAGGAAAAGGGTTCCGCAGGAGGGCAGGAAAAGCTGGGGTTTGTTTTGAGCCCCCGCTCCCAGCCCAGCTGGCGTTGAACGCACGCTCCGAAAAACAACATCGCTGCCCGTAACCAGCGAGGAGAGGGGCTGGAGAGGACAGACGGGGTGACAGCGGGGCTCTTTGTAAGCCCAAGCCTTTCCCTTGGGTTCCCTGTGGACCAACTGCATTAGGTCCACGCTGAGACTTCCCAAATTTCCCAGCCCAGTGGGTGACAGCAGGGGTTAGGCCAAAGGATGCCCAGGTAGCGACCGGTCATTTCTGGGATGCTGCAGTGGGGACGTGACTTTCAGTGCCCACAAATCCTCAAACCCAAATGCAAAAAAAACCCAACAACCCTCTAGAAGACAGGAAAGCAGCTCCAGGGGCTGATACCTCCCTCCCCCTAAAAGCCACCTCCCAGCAACTGCTGGCGGGTGAGCAAGCGCCCTGCGCTGCCCTGGGCGATGCCGAAGGCTCACCCCGACACATTTTGCCTTCAAAAAACAGTAGAAAAGGACAAAGGGATGGAAGAGCCAGGGCAGTGCTGAGGAGGAAGAGGGATGAAGGCAGGAAGTTTGGGAGCAGGGCCGGCTCTGCCGGGAGTGCCTCCAGGCTGAACCAGTGGCAGGGGGGGGAGGCCCAAAGGACTTCACCTACCTAGGGTTGGGTCGTAGTCTCCAATGAACCTCCTGGTGATGAACCTTACGGTCAGTGCTGTAGAAAAAAACGACAACAAAGCCAGTTTACAGTCGTGGGATCCAACGGCAGGGCAAGAGCGGCTGATGGGGGCGGGAGGGATGGAGCAGCCGTGCGGGGAAGCACCCATGTGGGCACCGGGGAGGCGCCCCAGCGGCGAGGCTGCCCACCCAGCCCTGTAAAGACCTGGGTATGGCGGGGAGGGGGAGGAAAATGTCACCAAAGGCACCCAAGCAGGCTGGGTGATGGCCGCACAGCGGCCAGGGCTGCCCTGAGATGGCCAAACTACAGTAAAGCAGCAGATTGCCAGAGCTTGGTGGCGAGAGCTGAGGGTGAAGCAGCCTGGGAAAGGATGACGGTTGCCCAGGTGGATGCATTGGACCAAGACTGTTGCAAGCCCTCTTTTCTCCCCCCAACGCCCTTGGGTGACGGCCTCAGCCCTGCGCAGGCTGTCCCCTGCCTTGCTTTACCCCTGCACAACGTGGGAAAAGCATCAGGATGGGCAGGAGCCCAGCCAGGCCGACAGCTCGCACCTCGCCTCTAAGCAGCCCGAAAAATTCCCAGAGCTCCTAGGCATCAGGCATTCCAAAACAACCTCATTGCAGCCCCGGGAAGAGGCTGGATCATAGAATCATAGAATCATAGAATGTTTTGGGTTGGAAGGGACCACTAGAGGTCATCGAGTCCAACCCCCCTGCAGTCAGCAGGGACACCGCCAACTAGATCAGGTTGCTCAGAGCCCCATCCAACCTGGCCTTGAATGTTTCCAGGGATGGGGCCTCCACTACCTCTCTGGGCAACCTGTTCCAGTGGTTTACCACCCTCATTGTAAAGAATTTTTTCCTTATATCTAGCCTAAACCTACCCCGATTTAGTTTAAAACCATTACCCCTTGTCCTAACGCAGCTGGCCCTACTAAAAAGGTTTTCCCCCTCTTTCCTATAGGCCCCCTTTAGGTACTGAAAGGCCGCAATCAGGTCTCCCCGCAGCCTTCTTTTCTCTAGACTGAACAAGCCCAACTCTCTCAGCCTGTCCTCATAGGAGAGGTGCTCCAGCCCTCGGATCATTTTAGTAGCCCTCTTCTGGACCCGCTCCAACACTTCCATGTCCTTCTTGTGCTGAGGGCTCCAGAGCTGGACGCAGTACTCTAGGTGAGGTCTCACCAGAGCTGAGTAGAGGGGCAGAATTACCTCCCTCGACCTGCTGGCCACGCTCCTCCTGATGCAGCCCAGAGTACGGTTGGCCTTCTGGGCTGCCAGGGCACATTGCCGGCTCATGTCCAGCTTTTTATCCACCAGCACCCCCAAGTCCCTCTCGGCAGGGCTGCTCTCAATCCTTTCTCCCCCCAGGCTGTATTGATACTGGGGGTTACCCCATCCCAGGTGCAGGACCTTGCACTTGGCCTTGTTGAACCTCATGGATGCCTCATGGATGGCTTGTGCGTGTTCTTTGCCAACGTTTGCACTGAGGACCAAAAGCCACCGGTCGAACCCCATGCACCAGTCCAGGCTGGGGGCTGACCTGCTGGGAAGCAGCTCTGCCCAGAGGGACCTGGGAGTCCTGGTGGGCAACAAGCTGACCATGAGCCAGCAGGGTGCCCTTGTTGCCAAGAAAGCCAATGGCATCCTGGGGTGCATTAAGAGGAGTGTGGCCAGCA